CTGAATTTCTTGTTTAATTTCGGGAGACAGACTCACGCAGACACTTTTGTGTGTCCGTGTTTCCCAAACTCGTTGCTTGAAATTCTTCAATTCCCATTTTTTTAGCCTATTAGACTGAGAAAAGGTACTAAAAATCTCGGACAGGACACCCACGAGTCAAACCTAGGACCTCCCAAATTGTGAAAATTTATCTATAAGCACGTCCACTTTCTGCAATATAAATTAAATTTTTATAGGGTTTGTCGATGTTGGGCTTCTGGGTTATGACGCAGTGTAGACTTGCATGAAGATACCGACGTTTCGGAGGAACTTAATGAATCATCTAATCATTCGGAACAAAAATCTTGGGTACTGAAAACTCCATTAAATATGACCCAAACCACAAATGACGCCTTACAGACGTGGAGGGGGAGGAGTGACTCCACGCATTCTTAAACCTCGATATTTGATGGAGACTTAGTGGTTAACTAAAGGCATCGAACACTTGACCGTCGGTACCCATTGGTTAGGAGACGTTTCGGACGTTGTGGCAAAGATAAAGATCCTGTTGAGCATCGAACCCCGATCGTCCATCCTGTAGCCTAGTCACTATACCGACAGAGGTATCCTGGCTCCTGCAGATAAATAACATCAAATTCAATTGAACTGCTTTGAGTAATTTTAAAAATGATTTACGCAGGTAAACGTATGTGATCTCATTACGCTTTCACGTTATGCACTTCTTACTAATCACACTGTAGCCGTCAGCAGCTCTTAATTTTTCGACTGGACTGTACTGTCTCATGATGGTGGTTGCGCGAAACTGCCTCAGACTGGCTTGCTTGCTTGTATTTGCTGATCTAGGGGCTATCACGTACGCGTTGTGCCTGGGGCAGGGACCCTCGTTAGCACCAAGACGTGTCACACCAGTTATCCCTGCTTCTAAGTCCTCCCCCACGAGTCACTGTCATGGAAATGGACTTCAGGGTTACGTGGCCAGTGTGCGTCCGTCCCTCTGTGCGAATTAACTTTACCCACGTTTGTTGTGATGCCATAAAAATTAAATTGTGAATGCACGTCGCCCGTTGCTAAAGATATGGACGAAATATTTCATTTCTGCGAGCCAACAATGACCTGTGCTTCCATTATTACATTATTGTGTTCCAATAATTACCTTATTCTCATTGTTGCAACAGTACGTCTCAACAATCACTCCGGGGTCATGCATCGTGCCTAATTCGAAGGAAAAGGCTTCCGCCATCACAGAACAACATAGACAAATGCATAAACATGCCCCATGGGGATTGGAACCCATGATTTACAGTAATAAAACCTGCTAAAACCTAGAATGTCTTGTACCTCACTTTCTGGGATAGTTAGTTAATCAGCGGAAAGTCGAGGTTAGGTTAGTTTAGGTTAGGTTAGGTTAGGTTAGATTAGATTAGGTTGGGTTAGGTTGGGTTAGGTTAGATTAGGTTATATTAGGCTAGGTTAGGTTAGTTAGGTTAAGTTTAGGCTAGGTTAGGTTAGGTTAGATTAGATTAGGTTGGGTTAGGTTAGATTAGGTTAGATTATGCTAGGTTAGGTTAGTTAGGTTAAGTTTAGGCTAGGTTAGGTTAGGTTAGATTAGGTT